CAGAAATAAATAAATCAAACTGTCGAACAGTGCACAAAGGGAATAAAATAAAGAAAGAAAATAATAAGATTATTTACATGTATATATACAAGGTGAAGTGCAAAGCAACCGGTTGGTTATTTAATTTAAATAATCTAATTTCAAAAGAAGTTGGAATGTAAACATATTATTTAAAGCCAATATTTAGTTTAAGACAGAAAAAATACAACAAATTGTCTTTACTCCTAATTATTTCTATTTCTTCTTCTACATTAAGTAGTGTTTTTAATTATGTCTTGTTACTGTGCATGTGACAAATAAAGATCATAAATATAAAAAAAAAAAAAAATTCCGCATAAATTTGATGCCACAAACACAACCTTGAATTCAGCGTTGAGGTAATTCAGGAAGTTGGATTAGAAATTTGTGACAATGGCTATTTATACAGATTTAATGAGACATTAGACTCTGAAATTTCATCAAAACAATAAAGGCAAATTGAATTTAGTTTTTAACTAAATATGATAATTCTCATTTACACAACACAATGTGTAAAACTTTCACAAATCCTCACAAATCCCCATTTAATTGACAACCTCTCATCAAAGTATTGATTAGTGATTGATTTATGTGTTCTAGAGAAAACTGTGACGTAAACTCTCAGTTTGTCCTAAATTGGCTCAAAAAATCCCTGTTGTTGCTCCCTGTTGGTCTGTAAACTCCAACACAGACACCTGTGTCTCTGACCAGCAGGCTCTACTTTAACCTGAGCTTTTTCTTCATCATCATCATCACCTGGATCAGGTGTTCCAGACTATCAAAGCTGCATTATGGATGAAGCAGTGAAAGGAGCTGCAGGCGGTTCTTGGTATAAAAAGGAGCTGCAGAGTTTAAACTTTATCTGTTTTTAAAAACATAATCCCCATTTAGACTCAAAAACTGGACTTTAATTGGCAGCAGCCGCTGAATTAAGATACTGAAAAGCATTCTGGGTGTTGTAGGAGGAATTTATTTTCCGTTTTCTAAAATAACTGTACCTGAGTAGTACAGACGACTGAGTTTAACCCTCAACCTCCCAAAATATTTAACATGTAAAGACTCCTGACTGAGTTCAAAAAAATAAACCACTATCAGAAAAAAACATCACTAAAATATAAACTTAATTCTTCCCAAAACATCTTTAGTCATCTGAAAAGGGGATTTTTTCCCCCCCGAGCAAATCATATGAAAAAATTGATATTTTTTGCTTTGAAAAGTGAGGATTTTTGTCAGTTATGATAATAAATGATGAAACCATGTTGTTTTTTTCTGTTTAAATTACTTGTTTTGGGTGGGATATTTGTTTCAACACCACAGCAGTGGTAGTGTCAGAACACAGAGATATTAAGAGGACAGTGAAATATGGAGTGAAGGTTTGTTCTTTGAGTTTATGTGATGCAGGAAAAATTTCTCTTGAGGTTTGTGTGTTTTGGGTAAAGTTTGTCTAGAGATCGAGTCTCACAAATTAATCAAACAACAAAAAAACAGCATGTCAGAGTTAACACTAAGGATTTTTAGAAATTAAAGGTGAGGCTATTTAACAGTTTTTGTTAAGAGAAGATTTTTAAAAACCTGCAGATCCTCAGTTTGACAGTAATTTTCTTGGGAACACTGAAAACAGCTGAATTTAATTAAAACCTCAGACTCACCTGAGGCGTCCGTCCTGAGCGGCGGCTCCTCCGGGTATGACTTTGGTGATGAAGATGCTGGGGTCTTCACCGATGTGGGGGTTGTCAGTGCCGCCGGCGATGCTGAAGCCGAGGCCCGAGTTGCCCTGGAAACCATGACGAGCACGACCATGGTGACGACAAAACAAAGACACAACACGGGTAGGATGAAGAAAATTAAAGACGAAGGACAAAAAAAAAAAGCCATCAAACAGAAAGAAAGTGTGCATTTGTTGGTTTGGGGACAATTGGATGGATCTTTTTTGGTGTTTTGGTGAGTTTTAGTGGTAGCAGGATGGTAAAAATAGACAGCATTAATTACATTTCCTCACGTACAACTTTGAGGTACTCACTAACATGTTGTGCCACTTCCTCAGTCAACTGCACAACATCTCAGAGGACAGTGTTCTACTTTCTACTCCTCTAATATTTTGAAATTTTACGGTGCAAATTCTACACAAAACACATATTTTTGTGATTTTCAGAAGTCTGAGTAGTTAACAGCTTCACCAAAAACTGATTTTACTCTCTAAACTTCTCACATTTCAATAAATGTTCAATTTTTTAAATATCTCCGTAAAAATCAAAGATTAGAGAAAACCTTTTTCCCATTAATCCTGTTAGGAGCCTCAGATTTATCTTCGTTCCTTGAATACAACACTGAATATAAGTAGTTCCAACCTTCAGCTGACACACTGATGATCACTATAATAGTCTTATAACAAATCAGTCAGGGGGGACCAAACCAGCACTTTTAGTGCAATATTTTAGCTACATTTTGCTGGTGTGTAATTTTACGGTGTTGTTCAGATCTGCAAAAAATCTCCTGCAGGACTTTTGAAACTTCAGTTTTAGGTAAACATGAAAGCAGCAAACATGCAGGGACGTAATTCAGCTTCAGTGATGAAACAACACAACAAACACGAGCCTGAGGCCTGTTAAACCTCTGGTGGGACTCAGCTGGCAGAGTTTCTATTTTATTTACGCAGCGCTGATGATAATTTGCACTTGAAGAAGCAGAGCAGCTGAATGAGGTCGAGACAAAAGGAAGAGAGAACAATACACAAAGATAATACCGCAGGCAGAGTTGAGGATTAAAACGCAGCTGCATTAAAGAGAAATCGCAAAGTTTTGTCCTCATTTTCACAAAAAAGCCCTCTGATGTTTGGACTCAACAGCCCTGCAGGGTTTACGAAGGCGAGTTTAAAAGTTCTGTGCAGAAAAGTTGTGTGTCAAAGTCGGAAGCAGAGCATCGGCTGCCAGCGTCAGGCCATATTTAATCTGAGTTATGGACTCGTAAAGATGCCACAGAGTTACAGCGAGTCGCTCGGCCAACAGTCTGGTTTAAAGTGAAAAAAAAAAGAGCTTACCCGCTCCAGCGTGATCTCCTCGTACTCATAATCAGCCTCTGCCCCGTTCACCTGAACAAAGAACACATCCATCAGTTCCTGCAGCAGCACATTCATACATTGTATAAACAGATACTTTGTGTTTTTAACCTTCACACTCTAATGTAATTTATTCCACATGTCACGGATCAACATTAACACAGTCAGTTTCTAACTTTAACCCTCTGAACTCAAAGCAGCTTCTGGGTGTTTTTTCTTACTGTGGGCTCATTTTTCGCTGCAGTATAAAGTTCTGCACCTCTACGGAAACAGAACCATTAATAAAGAGAGAGAACTCAAAAATGTCTTCTGTCAGTGTGACACAGTTAAAACACAAAAAATCCGTCAAAAGTCAAAAAAAAAAAAAAAAATGTTGAAAACTTGAATATTACAACACCAAAATATGAAAAATCTGGATATTAACATGCCAAAGGATCAAAAACATGGATGTTAAAAGTTACAATATATTTATTTGATTATTTATATTACAAACAAAAAAAAGTCATTTTCCTTAAAAACTGAAATTTTCTCACGTCACTTTTGGTCAAAGCAGAGTCATGAATCACTTCAAGGTTCTGCCAATCAGCTAAGAATTTATTTATTAATTTATTTTTACAGAATCTGGTTAAAGCTGTTTATTTTCAACAATTTAAAATTAAACATATGGAACAAAGACAGTATGATGACATATCTCCATTTAAAGTTTAGATTTTCAAGTTTACTGACACAATAGCACAACACAAAGAAAAAAGAATTTTGTTGATTCTTTATTTTACAAAAAAAAAAAAAAAAAATCCTGGAATCAACGTGTACAACATTTTTTCAAGAATCCATAGATGCTACCAACACTATAACTTCTGGACTATTGTAATTCCTTATTGTCAGGATGTCCCAATAACTCTCTCAAAAACCTTCAGCTGATACAAAATGCTGCAGCCAGGGTTCTGACAGGAACCCTAAGAGAGATGATATTTCTCCTGTATTAGCGTCTCTTCATTGGCTCGCTGTAAAATCAGGATAGAATTTAAAATCCTGCTTTTAACATATAAAACTCTCAATGACCAAGCTCCATTTTACCTTAAAAACCTTATTGTGCCACACCATCCTAACAGAGCCCTTTGCTCTCAGACTGCGGGTCTACTTGTGGTTCCCAGAGTCTCCAGAAGTAGAACAGGAGGCAGAGAACTTCAGTTATCAGACTCCTCCATTATGGATCAGCTCCAAGAGTTGGGTTCGGGAGGCAGACACCCTCTCTACTTTTAAGATTAGGCTTAAAAATTTCCTCTTTGATAAAGCTTATAGTTAGGGCTGCTCAGGACCACCTGAACTGTCACTTAGTTATGCTGCTATAGGTTTAGACTGCCGGGGGATTCCAAATACGTACTGAGCTCCTCTCTCTCTCTTCCTTCCATACAGTTATGACCACAACCAACCCCCAAAATACTTATATTCATGTTTATTGGTCCACTCTATTGCTTGCTCTCCATCTGCTATCCTGCTTTCCCCACCCCCTCATCCCCACTCTCATCCAACCGGTCGAGGCAGATGGCCGCCTTCCCTGAGCCTGGTTCTGTCAGAGGAATCTCGACAATGAAAGTGTAAAAAGTTCATAATCAGCTCAAAGACCCAACGACATGTTAAGAAGAAATATAGCAGGTGGAAATTAACCTGAATTAGCCTTTAACTTAAGGATTTTTGCTCAGGACCTAACTTTTTGACGATCAGTTTAAATGTGTAGCTGCAGATTTCTGAATTTCCTGAGAGGTAAAAGCTGCAGTATTTGTCCTCGCTGAGCCTGTTTCTGGCAGTGGAGCAGTCCAACTTAAATTAGCGATTAAACAGCCGCCAGCCTCTGATTGACTTGAGATGTTGGCGGCCGTTGGCGAGATCCCACCTCGTCTTTGCCAGCTTAGTTTTCAGAGACGTTAAGAAAAGACATTTGAACCAGCATTTTACACCGTCAAACTCAACAGTTGCATCAGGTCAGAAAACCGCAGACAGATTTGCTTCCTCGTGGACTTAAATTCAGGACTAGAAGCTGTTTATTGGATGATGTGGATGTGAAATTTAGGTTTGTTAGATGAGTCTTAATGAGTGAAATCTGTAAAGTGTTTGGTGAAACTGACAGTGGCAGAACCTGTAAATAACAGACTAACAAGCTAAACTCTGAATCCTTTTCAGCCTCTTCGAGCCTTGTGACTGCGACTGGAATGGTTGCATATGCGCCTGGAATTTCGAGGGTGTGACTACATTTGAAATTACGGTCGCATGGTGTGCCAATAGAAAAATGAGCAAAAATGAAGGTCTGCACCGAAATAATCGCTGCAGAAAAAAAAGTAAACAAGCTCCAGTCCCGCTGGCTGACTGAAGCCCGCGAACCTTTCACCAAACACTTGGATGATAAAATAATTTAAATTACTATATTTATCCAGTGATTTGTAGTATAAAGTATTCTTTTTTTTCACTTAGCCTCGTCAGTTTTGATGATTTTTAAATTCAAAATGGCTGAATTTTCGCAATTTCCCATTCAGTGCTTGGAAGAGAAGCCGGTGAGGCAGCGCCGGTAGGTAGTGACAGTCAACGCATGGCAGCCAGCGCAGTGAGGGATTGCGCAATCCCTCGCTACCTGGCTGCCTGCAGTGACAGCATGTTGCTGTCTGTATGTCGCCAATAACATGGTGCAAACACATTTAATATATAAACTGATTTTCCATAGTTCAGCTGATTACATAATAATGTACAGTGTTTTTTTTGTCACCAACTGTATGTGTGTAACGTGTTTTGTGTGCTGAGCATCATAAACAGCTGAGAAGAAACATAACCCGTAAACTGCTGCCAATCAAATGGCAAATATGCTACTGTGTAGAGTGCATATATTTGTAAATCAGATTCTGACGAAGTCAGTGCCTCACCAGCCATGAACCTCACCGCACCTCACTGGTTGTAACAAATGGTGTGATTCGTCTTTCTTCTCCAAGAACCAACTAAAATTATATACCACACATTGCCAATTGTTTTGCACCTATCAATGTAGGCTTTTTCTTTTAAAATCTATTTAAATACTTTATTCCAGGTTGTTAACGTTGATTAATAGGAGTATTATTGGTATGGTCAAGAGTTTTGCTTGTGCTCCCAACTTTTTATAGTGGTGCGCCTAGATTTTTGCTTGTGCTCCTAACTTTTTTGGGTAAGCAGCACAGTGCTCCTGGGCCAAAAAGTTAGTCTGGAGGCCTGCTCTTCCTTCATATTTTGCTTTGATCAGTGAAACAACAGCATTTACAGCCAACAATCAGACCTGGTGTTGCTTGAAACAAACAGGATGGTTGATGCACATTTCGCTTCATGTGTGACTTGAACTTCAACTGCAGACGGCAGATTCACTTCTAAGTCCATGCAGAGTTAACAGAACGAGAAAAATAACCATCTATAATAACGGAATAATTCTCAGATTAATAACTGTTTCACCGCTCCAAGGTGATAAAGAAGTAAAAGAGAACACATGGTGTGATGGGATGTTTTCGTACTTATGCATTAACCTGAATATGAATGCACCAAAGCATCGACAACTTAGATATTAATGCACAAAACTGTCAAAAAATCTAGATTTTAATGCCAAAGTGTCAAAAATATGGATATTAATGTATAAAAGCGTAAAAACTCTGCATATTCATGCAGGAAATGACAAAAAAAAAAAAAAAAACTAGACATAAATGGACCAGTGTCTATAACCAGGAAAATACTATACCAAAGTTTCAATATCCTGGAAATAAATGCAACAAAGTGTCAAAACCCTGGAAACCAATGTACCAAATCTTCAAAAACCTGAATTTTAAGACTCCAAAATATAAAAATCCTGGGTGTTAATGCATTAAAGTGACAGGACCCTGGACAATAACACACAAAAGTGTCAAAAACCTGGATTTTGATGCATGAAAGTGTCACTAGTCTGAATACTAACCACGCTTTATGTTAAGTTTTCAAACAAATCAAGACAGAAGACAAATATATACATTGCTAAATTATTATATAAAACAGCTCTGTTTAATATTTATAAGTGACAGTTGATTATTGCATGTAAATATGAATGAAACGGTCAACCAGCCAATCTTAGTAGCCAACACTTAAATTACTACTTGTAAGTATTTCCAGTGTGTTGACTGACATGCTGATTCCAGGGTTTTTCAATTTTTGTAAAATAAAGAATTGAAAATATTGTACTTTTTGTTTGTGATGGGCCATTTCATCAGAAAACTTGACCAAATCTAAGTTTAAAATGGAAATTTTGTAAAAAAGAAAGACTAAAATTCTATGCTCCTCCACAGAACTGTGAAACCATCATTGACTCAGTTGTAGCCAACAATGTTGTCAGAAAAATTCAGACTGCAGGCTGTGGAAGTTGTTGCAGTGAAAAATGAGCCCACAGTGAGAAAAAAAAAAAACACTCACAAACTCCAGCAACCTATAATTTGATGAGCATGTTTCTGTTGAAGCAGGTTGAACTCACGTATGGAGGCGTGTCCAGGCTGTCGGTGTTGACCACCACGGGGGGAGGATTGGCCTGAGGAGAGAAGACACACGAGAGTGTCACGGAGAGGAAACATCTCTGCCAAAATAAAACACCCCATCAGCTTCTACAAAAAACCCAAAAACCTAAGCAGCCTCCCTCCAGCAGAGCTCCACCCCTGCAAACACTTACTGTCCTCATGATGCTACAGGGATAAAACAGCAGGCCGGTGGATTTGAGCAGAGATTAGTGAGCGGTACGTACATGGTGGCATTTCACGCTGCAGAAGATGCAACGTTGAAACATGAAGCCCAAAATCAAATCAAATTTTCCTGCAGGAGGAGGGAGATTCTTGCTCTGTTCACCTCGGCTTCCTCTTGTAGCTCTGACACTCGTTCACTCGATCATTCTGCTTCCGCCTGCCTTGCTCGCCCGCTCACTTTCTGCCCGGGAGGAGCCAGATGGGCTCTTAAAAGTCAAATGGGGGAAGTGTGGCATTTCTCCCACTGTTTTCTATCCCTAATCTGCTCACTTCATCAGAGCCACAGCTGGACGACAGACATGGAAGCGAGTGGTGGCGATGGCAGCAGAAGGACGAGAAGCCAAAAACATGTAAATCTACTGATGGATGGGTGGATGGAGCAGAGAGAGAGAGACAAGTGGAAGGAAAATAAAAAACAAAACAAACAAAAAAAGACCTGTGATGTCGGAGGGATGATGGTGGTCTCGGCTGGGATTGGCGAGATTGGGATCACAGGGATTATGGGAGAGGAAGGCGGGGCGGCTTCAGCCTGCTGAACAATAGCATGGTGAGGTTAAAGGTTAGACAAACACAGAGCAGATGAACAGCAGCAGGATGAAGGAGGAGGAGGAGGAGAATGTTGTTGTGTGCATGTGGATGTTGAATGCGTTCGTTTCAGTCTTGCTGAGGCGGCGGCCGGGTGGAGTTTGGCCACACGGTGTCAAGACAGGCCGGCCAATCGCAGAGGAGACGCCACGTGATTAGATCAAGTAAAAACAATATTTTATATTACGAAATTGTTACATTTATACATGTCTCTCACCATGAATTTATCTGGATCTTTAACTTCATCACAGCAAAATGAGTTACGTTGGTTTTTTGGACAAAACAGACAGTCTGAACTCATCATGTTGAGTCCCAACGAACTTTCACGACTGACATTTATTAATAAGATGAGATAATTAACATTAGAGTCAAACCTGTTAATATACATTTACACAAATCATTATTATTGTTTTTTTTACATTTCACTGTTAATGAATTGATAATTTCACACAGGTGAGGGTCACAAAAAGGTCTAAACACTTCCAGTCTCTAAATATTTCAATTTCTTTTAACTCTATGAGTTTATTTTCAGGTTAATTTCACCACCTTTAAGTTCTTGTTTCGGTCATTATAAGGAAAAGTCATACATGCTGTATCTTGTTTTTAAACAGAACAGTCTTAATTATCTGGACCTTCCATCATTTCCTACGATTCCACTCACAAACACAGAGCAGATGAACAGCAGCAGGATATCGTGTCCATGTGGATGTTAACCGACAGGAGCGTTTGTTTTGGTTCTGCAGAGGTGGCGGCCGGGTGGAGTTTGGCGGCGCAGTGTCAGGAGAGGTCGGCCAATCATGGAGGAGACACCGTGTGACTGACAGCAACTCTCCCATCTGCTGCCGGGAGGATTAAAGCGACGCTGTGACCTCCGAGCGAGAAGCTAAATCCTCCGTCCCCTCGGTGCAGCAGGCCGGATGTTCTTTTTGTCATCATTGGAAAGCAGCAGATATTTCAATCTAACAGAACAGCACCATCAGCACAGAGGGTCGAAGGAAGACACCAACAGTCCCTTTCATTATCCGAGGCCCCTGGACGGATAATCAATAAAAAATACAATCAAAAATGCAATATGGCCAAGTGCAAGATCCAAACCGCAAGAGCTGCAGCTTTTACATAAAATGTGTCACAGCGAACCACTTGGTGCCTATAAATCTGATTCCCCAGACTGGAGAGAGACATTTTTGGCAGTTTTCTTTACCGAGCTGCATTATCAATCAACAATCTATAAATCGTTCATAAGAATGATTGGACAGTATTCCACATGCTGATAAACCTATTTCTTGACCACAGACCTGTGACAGTGACCACAACAGTGCTTTTAATATTTTCCCTAATCATATGAATCCAACTTATTTCAGGTTGATAGGGATGAAAATTTTGAATAATTTTCTGAACCGATAATCAGCAGCGTTATTAATCAATAATCTATAACACGATTTGAGTACAGTGTTTATGAATCCCTACACTGATATTTAAGGCAACAAACACATTACATGGGACACAAAACAGAGTTAAATACATGTGCCCCCGAGATAAAGCAACACTGACCTAATTCATCCTAAACACAAGCCTGGTCGGACAGCATTAACCACCACAGTAGTCTCTGTCATGGTACCTGTTGATAGTTTAACCCGCACAATGCTCTCTGCTTGTTAGCATGACCTGCCTGTAGTCTGAGTGACGCCTCTTCTGGTCGCTACAGTATTAAAAAGTAAGAAGCTCCACCTGGCAGAGCAAACAGGTGCTCATTGATCAATGACATTCCTACTGCAGTTGTACAGTAATATGCGTGTTTCTGTACCAAACAAGTACAACACATGATCATCATTTTTCTGTTTGGTTCAGTGGGAAAGAAATGCAAAATCTACCACTTCCAACAAAATCATTTTTCAATACTAGTCATAAAGCTGTTATTTTTTGCTTTTTCTGATTTTTTTAAAACCACAAACCAGGGTCCATTAACAGTCACAGCATACTTTGTCATGGTGCCGTTGCTAGCTTAACTCCCACAATGCTCTCTGCTGGCCAACATGATCTGTCTGTAGTCTGAGCAACTACCTCCTCTGGCCACTACAGTATTAAACAGTAAGATGTACAACAAACAGGTGCTACAGCTGATCTACAATACATTTTCTGACATGAATTTCTTTCATCTTCTGCCATATTGGTAAATATTAGGGGTGGGACTTTAACGCGTTAATTAATGCGAAAATAACGCGTTAAAGTCCCACTGCTAAAATACTTTAAAGCGCTAATTCTGATTAATTAATTACAACAAAAATAATGCATTAAAAAAATTAATGCATTTAATCGCAGTTTGCATCCAGGCAACACGGAACGTTTGTCAGTGCCCAATTTCATGGTCCACTACATGGTAAACTACAGATAACTATCTTGCTCAGTCTCTACTCTTTGGGGGATGAATACGACGTTAATTACTCGCGATTACTACGGTAAACTACAGATAACTACCTTGCTCAGTCTCTATTCTCTGAGGGTTAATACAATGTTAATTGCTCACGAGAGTGCGGCCTTAAAGGTGACGCTGTTTATTCCGCTCATAGAAAAGGCTGCATGAGAAAAAATGACTCTGTTTCATCTTGGACAAATCTGACATTAGAACGCCCTATTTTACTCTTTTTAAAGTCATCTTTGGTCGTACACCGGTCTGAGCACCGCAGCCACCAACAGCAGCTACCGCAGCCTGCTATGTGGGGCGTTCAGGGAACATCGGTAAATTGTAGAATCTATCGATAAGAAAATGTTCAGCCGATACTAGCCAGGTATCATTAGCCTTAAACTGACTCATAAATTTGGGCCATGAGCAGGATTCGAACTCAAGACCTCCACATCGCGACTGTAGCCCTGTGCATGGAACGCCAGCTCAAGAAGAATGTTCATTTCCCTTTACAGACTGTCATATCAGATGTAAATGGCCGTTATGTTATTGCTTCTGGCACTCTATCAAAAACCAGTAGTCCTGGTGTCTGTTTAGGCCCCCATTCATAGTTTTATGAAGCAATTGTTATCCCCTATCCCAAACTTGAACTCATTCTAGGAGGAGACATGAATTCTGTCCTGGACCCAGTGCTTGACAGATCGAGCCCAAGAGTTATCCCACCCTCAAAAGTCTCCCAGACCCTTTCCACCTTTATGGACCAATATAAACACTTATTCCATCTATAATTTCTACCCAGTATTCACCAATAACTATTTCAGACCATTCCACAGTGATTTTAGATATGCATTTTGACCTCAAGGTAGCCCTGCAATGGACTGGCGATCTGTCCAGGGTGTCCCCTGCCTTCGCCCTAAGTCAGCTGGGATAGGCTCCAGCCCCCCCGCGACCCTAATGAGGATTAAGCGGTGTATAGATAATGGATGGATGGATTATGAAAAACAACAACAACAAAAAACTCCTTATATAAAGTCTGCTCCAAAAAGAGCTACAACATCATGACACCATCAGTAAACAAGGTTTTTGCACAATAAACTTCCACCATTGCAGACAGCAATAATATTTGGAAAGTTGCAAATTCTTGATTTTCTGTTGCTCAGAAGTTGGTCTGTGTGTGCACATAACCAACGAAATTTCCCGTCCATCTGTTGTTTACTGCTCCAAAGGCATCAGGAGACACCTATCATTCTTAGAGGCTCTTATTAGACCATCTCACTGCTGGACGGTCACAGCCTATGACTTACGGCCATTTCTGTTGTCTTTTTGTTGTCCCCCCGATGAATCGCCACCTTACCGCGGTGGAGGGGTTTGAGTGTCCCTGTGATCCTGGGAGCTATGTTGTCCGGGGCATTAGCCCCTGGTAGGGTCTCCCAAGGCAAATTGGTTCTGGGGGAGGGACCAGACAAAGAGCGATTCAGAAAACCCTAATGAAGATCACTAAAAGGACTGCCGCCACCTCGCCCGGAATAGGGAAACCGGGGCACCCCCCGGAGCCAAGCCTGGGGGGGAGCTTGCCGGGGAGCGTCTGGTGGCCGAGCCTTGGGGCCCCGTGGGACTCGGTCGGGCACAGCCCGAACAAGCTACACGGGGCCACTTTCCCGAGGACCCACCACCCTCAGGGAAGAGGATCGGGGTCGGGTGCTATGCCCACTGGGTGGTAGGCAGGAGCAGGCGTCCTGGCTTACCGCCCCCTGGTGGCGTAGACTAGCTCTGGGGACATGGAATGTCATCTCACTGGCGGGGAAGGAGCCTGAGCTGGTGCGGGAGGTGGAGCACTACCGGCTAGATATAGTCGGGCTCACCTCCACGCACAGCAAGGGCTCCGGAACCATACTCCTGGAGAGGGGTTGGACACTCTCCTTTTCCGGAGTTGCTCATGGTGAGAGGCTCCGGGCGGATGTGGGGACACTCACAAGCCCCTGGCTGAGCGCCGTCTTTTTGGAGTTCTCCCCGGAGAACAAGAGGGTCGCCTCTCTGCGACTGTGTGTTGCAGAGGGGAAAACTCAAACAACTGACTGTTGTTTGTGCTTATGCACCGAAAAGCAGTGCGGAGTATTCGGCCTTCTTGGAGTCACCTGGTGGTGTCCTGGAAGGGGTGCCGCCCGGGGACTCCATCGTTCTCCTGGGGAACTTCAATCCTCACGTGGGCAATGACGGTGAAACCTGGAGGGGCGTGATTGGGAGGAATGGCTTGCCTGATCTGAACCCGAGCGGTGTTTTGTTTTTGGACTTCTGTGCTAGCCACGAATTGGCCATAACAAACACCATGTTCGAACATAAGGTTGCTCATAAGTGTACTTGGTACCAGAGCACCTTAGGCCAAAGGTCAATGACCGACTTTGTAGTCGTATCATCAGATCTGCGGCTGTATGTTTTGGACACTTAGGTGAAGAGAGGAGCAGAGCTGTCAACTGATCACCACCTGGTGGAGAGTTGGATTCGATGGTGGGGAAGGCTGCCGGACAGACCTGGTAAACCCAAACGCG